CCTTAATGAAAATAACAGCTGAGACAATCAGCTCCGTGTGTGTGTGGCCTAGAGGACAGAAGACAGGAGAACACGCAGCTAATTAATTAAATAATTTGGTTCTGTAGGTTTATCTTCAGCAAGCCGACAAAGGTTTATGATGGGTCAGTCCTCCTGCATGCTCAGATCATTCCCTTCCCGTGCTTGAAAAATTGTTCCAAAATGAAAGTTGAACCCACATCTTTTTTATCTGTGAATTCAATGCCGTTCGGCGAGTCTCAAATAAAAATTTGGGCATCTTACTGTAAAAAAATATACCATTAATGTAAAAAATAAACACTATATAAATTTTGTTCACATCTAGATTCAAACCCGGATCTCCTGCATGGAAGTCCTTCGTCTTACGAAGTGAGCTAAAACACCTGTAACATATTCTGTTTCTGTAAAATTTATATCCTTGATGACAGCTGAAACAACGTTCAAAGAACGGTTCGGAGCGAAAATGGCTATTTTGTTGCTAATTTGCAGGAAATATCTAGAAAAAAGTAGCTAAGGGTCCTCAGAAATGTAGCTAGGTTCATCACTAGGCGTTAGGAACAGCGACAAAAGTCGCTGAGGTGGTACTACCTCTCTGCTAAAGCTACGGATAGCAAATGCTACGGGCGATGCCTGAGCGTGAACGCGCATGAAGCAGCCTGCTCGACCCGAGTATCTCTCTTTTTCTGTGATTTTACAGAAAAACAGGCAATCACAGTAAAAATGCCAGGGCTCATTCTACAGGACCAGGGCATTGCAGGAGAATGTATGAAGAAGAAATTTATTATTTCTATACATGTTTTGGCTGTCAAACTTCCATAATGCCCCTTTAAGAATGTTTGGTGTTTCTGTGTCTAAACCACAAATGCCTCTGAGCCGGAGTGTCATCAGTTGTCTTTCTAGCAACTGTGTGTATCTAAGATTTGCTGTTTCTTCACTCATTTTCAACTGCAAACAGAACAATTGATGCAGAGGTCACATACCCACAATGCATCACAGGGATTGTCATATTATTGGAGGGGCAAACAGAATACCTTGAGAAAACAACTTGATAAATTGGTCTTCAAACAGATGTTTTGTGGTCAACTATTGTAATGACACTGTTGCAAAATATTTGTATGACATAAAATGTTAGAAATCATTTACTCACTCTCTAAAAGTTAAAAAAAAGTTAAGTCAGTATTGATGTTTTTCTGGGTTTATAATGTCATCAAGTTATGCACATTTATGTATCAAGTACACTGTAAGAAATAAAATGTTGAATCTACTTAACCAGGTTGTGTCAACTGGTTCCACTAAACCTAGTTGCTTGAATGTAAAGAATTATGTTAAAAGATCCATATTGTTGGACAAAAAACATTATCACTTACAAGTCTAGCAACAAAGCCAGGTCACCATCAGTCTGATTTTGTAGCCTCATTTAGCTCCCACAAACTAGTGTAGACCGTGCCAATGTTCACTCTGGTTTTAGCCCTTTACTTCGCCTCCAAAGACATTACTCTCTTACTTTTCCTTCCAGGCTCCGCCATGATGCCAACAGAAAAAGCAAACTACCGTACTTCTTTTTCTTCTTCTTGTGCTTTTTATTGATGACCAGATAACTGAAAATGCTAACTGCTAGCATTACAGCGAACAGTCTTAAAGCAGGTAAAGAGCACCTCCTAGGATGCTCCACAAACAAGCAGGTGCAGGTTTTGGCCAGTAGAGGGCTGCAGAGTGGCATCAAATATGAAACTAGTCAAGTTTCTAACTCAACAATCACTGAGATCAATGTTAAAGTTCTAGCTTAAAGATCAAGTCACCCCCAAATCAACTGTTTTTGCTGATAAACTACATAAATAAGTGTCTAATCATACTGCAGACACGTGTATTCAATAATTTGGCACTTTAGTGCATTTTAGTTAACATTTAAATATTCTGTCTAAAAGTGTCAGTATAGTGCCGTCTTCAGGTAAAAACTGCACTGCATTTGAATTTAAATCTGCCATCACCATTGGCTAAGAGTTACACTATGACAGCTGGTACATCATGATGTCACAATGTTGTTGTGAGCCTGTGTGTGTGTGTTTGTGTGTGTGTGTGCGTGTGCATGCGTGCATGCTTGTGCGTGTGTGTGTGTGTGTGTGTGTGTGTGTGTGTGTGTGTGTGTGTGTGTGTGTGTGTGTGTGTGTGTGTGTGTGTGTGTGTGTTAACGGCTTCGCCCTCTCGGTCTGCCAGGCAACAAAATTTGTTGCATTTTCAAACAGGAAGCGGGAGTGGAGTAAAACTCTGATGGGGTGACTTGCTCTTTAAAAAAAACTATCTAGTGTTTCTTTAAGAAACTATGTTTAATAGAACTAGTTGACATAACTTCGTCAAGTAGAATCAACATTTTATTTGCTAGAATGTAGATTTTACTTGTTGGACTGACCCAAACTACTTTTATTTTGACCTCTTCAGGGCAGATTATTTCTGTCCAAACTGTGAGCTGTTTGTAAGTGGGACACTCACTCAGTCCTGATAGGACAGCCACTTATCTTCATGATTAACTCTGTTTTAAAGATTTCTCGTCCTAATTTGTTTATCGCCCAACACTTTATCAGAGTCCATCATCTTTGTGTCATCTCAGTGACAAAAAACACTTTTCTCCAAAATATAGCTTTCCTTATTTTACATGTTTTGGCTAATTATAAGAGAATGATGACCCATACTCTCTATCAATCCATCATTTGCGCGACACGTTCCTGTTTCCATTGTTTAGGTTTTGCTTCTTCTCGCTGCCACTGTGTACTTGAAGTTATCGGAGGCTGTAGTCTAAGCTAGAACTCTGACGTCTGAGAAAAATGATTTTAGATCAATCCAAGGCCTGAGCTGGGTCAGCTCTTTCTGACATTTTAAACAGATATCGTTAAGGTATCATCTTTTCTGCTCCCACTTACCAAAACAAAGTTAGAGCTAAACAAAACAAAAAAGGGTTTCAGTCTCTGCTATTGTATAAATATCCAAGTCTGGCACCAGATGCATTAAAAGGCCATATTAATAAAAAGATAACCTCACTTTTGTGTTGAATATTATATCAGTTGTGGTAAAAACATGCACAAATCTTATACTAATACCAAGTAACTAAAAATGTGTTGCTTTTTTTAGTTTGGCTTTCTCACTATCGAGCAGGATGGATGATAAAATTGTTTATGCGGCACATCTTGAAAATTTCACTCTGTTAAGTGCCTTTTTCTAAAGCTCTGCCTTCTATTTTCAACCATATTTGTACTCCCAAGAGGGGGAATAAAATAAATTCAGGTCAAATGTCCAGTTAAACAACAGGACATATGAAGAAATAAAAAAGATGACAACATTTACAGAAAAAAAGAAGGTAAACGGCCACATTTTAAGCCGTCACCATGGTAGTTTTGAAAGGGGGTGATGATACCCAGAGCCACAGGGTCCCTGCCAACCCAGATCCTGGTCCCAACCAAGCCACCCTCTCCTTTGCTCCTGGGGTAAGGAGAGGAGGGGGCAGAGGCCAGAAGAGCGACATACAGGCGCCATGGCGATCCCTAAGACAACTTATCTCCTTTCTCTTAGTGATAGCGCTTGTCAAAATAACTGCCAAGATACACAGCCAGTGAGGAACCGGTTAACTTGTAGGTCGTCCAATCAGCAGGCTTTGACTTTTTCCATTATCTAACTGTTCTCTTTAACTCTCTCTATGTTAGACTTTTATCAAATAGATTTTAAAAGTCATTATATTTAAAGCCAAACAAGGCTAATAAAGTCAAATATATAGGTGTATTTGTGAACTTGTGAATTAAAGCAACGGGTGTAATTTATTTCAACATTTCTACCCATTCAGAAGACATTTTTAAGCTGCTGCTAAAGACAAAATATCCTGATGCATATCTTTTCAAGGCTAAATTCTGCTTTAATCATACAACCTCAACTTCCTGTAGGAAACTTTCATTTATAAAGAAATGTCGCCGCCTAGTGGTAATAGTTGGTAACTCCCGCTTCATCATGGTAAGATAATGAAGTACCAAACTTCTGGGGTTAAGTGATGTAAGAGGCCTCCTAAATGTCCAAGAAAAAAAACAGCAAAATATAAAATTATTAAAAACTAATGTAAATTATATATTTGGTGTGATTTATGTTTATTAACAACAACAATAAAGTATATTTGAATTGAAACCTTTGTATGTTTATTTATTTGGCAGACGCTTTTATCCAAAGCAACGTACAATTTTTAACTTGTAGGACATGCTGTGATCTGTAGGGGAAACCGGAAAACCCGGACGAAACGCACGCATGCATGGGGAGAACATGCAACTCTACGCAGAAAGGCCACAGCCGAGTTCCGAACATGCAAACACAGTGCTAACAACTGCGCCAACGTGCAGCTTTTTATGATATGCTACTCTAATTTTTGCTTTTTAATTAATTTTGGATCTCTTTACACATTTTCTAAACAAATCCCTTTAACGCAGGTTTGTGAAAACCAGCTTGAAAGCACAAAAGGAACTGTAATAATTGGGTTGTTTAATTAACAAAGTTTAAGTACCCTTGCAAAACAATCAGAGTAATCAAATTGACGTTATTTTGTTGAAAGAAATAAAGGTATGTAACCATTGAACCGTTTTATTAGGAACAAGGGTCAAAATAAAACGCGTATCCAGACATGAATTAAATCCAGTGCAAAAGCAAATTCCCTGACCGGGAATCGAACCCGGGCCGCGGCGGTGAGAGCGCCGAATCCTAACCACTAGACCACCAGGGACACTGTAAGCTGCAGGTGATATGTATTATATATTTATAAAATCAATGGATATTTTTTATTTATTTATGTGTTTGTTTTGTTGCTGTATGTTCAACATGACTTATATGTTTGCGCATTAGCAGAAACAAGGTAACACCGCCGCGTCGTCCGCTGGAGGTTAAAAGAAAAGAAAACATCAGCCTGTCCGTGTTTTACCGAGCACATGACACCAGGGGGCGTAGCGAGGGGAGGAACCTTCGTTGGTTTTCATGTAGCAACTCGAAGATGCTCGCTAGGTATGTGAGCAGCTACCTGTTTCTCATGTCAGGTTGAGCGTTTCGCAGCGTTGTTGCAGATAAATAAGGCGTCGCCGCTAAGCCGGACAGCTAGAACGTCTCATGGTTAGGAAGCGCGTTCTGACCGTAAGGGTTGTTTCTTACCAACACCAGGTTGTTATTGTCTGTGTAAACAAAGTGGCTAGCTGTAGCACCGTTAGCACAGTTTTCTTGTCAGCTGGAAGACGATTGGACCTTGTTCGATATGCTTTTGTTTGCCGTGGCTCTGATAAATTATACATTAGTACAGCTGGGTTTGTGTTGCCCCTTCTGCTTCGTAAAGGACAACAGCTAAAGATGGGCGAAGAGGCTAGAAATGACCATAATAGACAGTGAAATTTACACGTAACAGCGGCTAGATATCTAGCATTCAAGGCTACTCAAAGATAAAGTTAAGCTCATTAGAAGTGCATTGCTTAAAATGGACTGTTTACAGAATTGGATCCAATGCTAATAATAATGGACAAACTGACCGCTGCATTACATAATAAACCACATGCTTACTGTGGAAACCAGGAGCAGATGTTTTTGTAACTAGAGCGTTTCCACCTTTTTATTTTCAGCTGACTAACGTGACGTGATTATTATAGGATGCTTTCATCGCCCTCCACTTATGCTAAGGGACTGATGGATCTGTTATTGGCTTTTTTTTTTGCAGCCCACTGAGTGCTGTGGAGTGAGGAGACACGCAGAGAGCTTTCTAATTTCCTTCCTTCTTTCATTTACAGGATGAGACAGAGGTGTGAGATCTGAGGAGGGTTGTCTCTGTTAGTAGGGATGCACCAACTCTAACTGCATGCAGAAATAGAGCCCTGCCCAGATGGAAAAGAGAGAGAGAAAGCAAGGATATTTTGACAGGTAAGGCGGATTTTGTTTGCATGTTTGCAGTTTTTTTAGAGATACGCAGAAAATTTGTCTGGTGACTGGAATGGTCGATTTTCAGCATAACCTGCATCTGACAATTTTCTTTAGTTTTTCCCATTTTCCACTGAATCAAATTCAGAGTTGATGTTTTTATCACCAGACTCATCATTTTCAATTTAAGTATTTAAAACGATGCCCGTATTTTCAAAAATTGTTGCAGTGTCAATGCAAAGTGGTGTCAATGATTGCAAAGGGCTGCTTGCGGAGCTGTAAGTTACTGTTATTTTCCCAATGTCATGTTTATGAATAAATCATTTGGCTAATCAGATGGACTCTAGCTGCCCTCATTGTCCACATCTGGTTCTCTCTCTCTCTCTCTCTCTCTCTCTCTCTCTCTCTCTCTCTCTCTCTCTCTCTCTCTCTCTCTCTCTCTCTCTCTCTCTCTCTCTCTCTCTCATTATTAACAATGTGTCATTCATTCATTCATTCACACACACACACGCATTCACAGCCTGGTGGTGATTAACTGCTATGTAGCCACAGCTGCCCTGGGGTAGTCTGGCAAGCCAGACTAAATAAATGTATTATTTATAGTTTTAGTTCGCTGTAATTAACTTTGCAAAGCAAGAATTTAGTCCAGTTCACAAGGCTAGCCCTGGGGCACACTGACATAAATTAAATTGAACATATAATATACATATAATTAAACAAAAATGAATAAAAATATAAAATTCCAACAAGTAGGTTGTGGGTGGAGGGCTTAGGCCAACCAGCCATTCCTCCCCATCCCCACACATTTCTCTCCTCCTGCTCCCTCACATCATCACACAATCATGCACATAGGACTTTGGGGGGTGGACAAGTCAGGGGGTGTGGGTGTGGACCCCATTTCCGCATTCCTGTGGCAGCCTGCCCCCCAATTTTATTTGCACATTAAACACTTCCACCAACGACATTCCACGCAAACACACACTTAGGGCCTTGGGAATAAGCGCATACAACGGCATTTGGCAAGGGGATTTCTCAGCCTCATCGCAAGTGCCGGTGCCCACTTCCAATTTTAAACAGCACTTAGACACAGAGGGTTGTGGGGGGAAGAGGGGTGGTGTGGTGGCATCAGCTGGCATAGGCCAGAATATGCCTGTACTGCCCGCTCACCACAGCCACGAATACACCTCATCAACATGCACCAACACTGTATTGGAGCAGGCGGAGGGTGACTAGGGGTCTTAGCACACCTCTGGAGGCTAGGAGGGGGATCTGGCCGTCTGGCTGGGGTGTGGGTAGTGGGTCGCTGTGCTCGGCATTGGGCGGGGGAGCCTGCTCATCAGCACCCCAGCAGAAAGGGTCGAACTCTGGGAACCGGTGATGGTTGTACCCCTTGTGCAGCAGTACCGTGACCAGAGTGAATAGGGTGTGTATGGGGAGTGTGAGTGGGTGTCTGGTGTGCATTTTTGTGAGTCTTTGGTTGTATGTGTGTGTGTGTGCATGAGGGAGGGAGTGTATGACTGTATATGTCAGGTGGGGCCTTTGACTCCTCTCTTTTCCTGGGACTTCTTTTGCTGCTATACGTCTTCGCCTCCCTTTTCCCTGTCACACCTGGTGTGGAGTGTGGTGCCGTGGTCTGCCTGAGTATTCGCGGCTCCCGGGTCAGGGGGTTTAAGATTTTTAGCGTCTGCCTGAATGATCCCGGTGGCTGTCTGGTGGGATCTGGGTCCCTGGGCTCTGTTGGGTCCCCGGCGGGGCGGGTCGCCCCGGGTCGCTGGGTTCCGGGCTCGGCCAGCTTAGGGGTGGGAGGCTGCGGGCAGGCCTTTGGGCTTGCCGCTGAATATCCCCCGGGACTCTGCCGGCTGCTGGTTGTGAGAATAATTATGAATTTAACAATGATTACTGCCTGATGACATTTCCCCAAATCTGCAAAGCTCACTGGAAGGACACAAACAGAGGACAATATTTTCCTGATATAGGGTTTATTACTCAAAAAAAGTATCTGATTAGAAGGCTACTTGAGTATTGAGTATCATCTAATCTAATATTTTTAAAATGATGACATCAAACAGACAAAACATAAGAAGTTATGGGCAAATATTGGTATTTTAAAGACTAAAGGGGAAAAATGTAAACAAACAAACAACATAATTACAAAATAACAAATTTTAGGCAAAATTTAGACACAAACTGAGGACAATATTTTCCTGATATACAGGGTTTATTTGGTTGTCTGAAAATGTAACACATTTAAAAATATACCGCGATAATACCGAAATCCGTGATAATTTTGGTCACGATAACAGTGAGGTTAAATTTTCACACCGTGACAACCCTAGTTGGCACTTAATGCACTGTGATTTATTATCGTGATTGTTCTGTAAAACAGTGTTGATTTTATATTTCCCCATCAGGTTGACGCAGTGATAGCTTGCTCCTGTTGTATTGCTGTGTGTCCCTTTTCTTTTTTTTCTCTCCTTCTGCAGGTCTAGGAGCAGACTCTCTTGTTCATCGATTGTTTGTTTGTGTGGAACACCCCCCTCCCCCCACCCCCGTCTCTTCCTTTCTCTTTCACCTCTGTCTCCGCGTCTGGTCGGAATTACAAGCATTCAAAAAACAATAACAATAAAGTTTTAAGCATCAGGCGTGACATTAAAAGCAGACGCTTTGATGCTCCACCTGAGAGTAAATCTGTAAGGCTTGTCACCAGCATTCAGACATCAATTCTGTTTGCTTCACAGCCAGACAGGACACGGTAAAAAAAAAAAAAAAGATAAGTCAATTGTAATCCCACCTAATCTGTCTTCAATAGTATGCCGTTGTTTTACCGTAGGCTGCACACTGCTCACTCGGGGTTGACTCCAGTTGGGTTTGGACCCACCTAATATGGCTGCGATGTTGTTACACTCTTCAGTGCCCAATGGGGTCTCTATGCATTCATGTGTGTATATGCAAGAATCTGATAATATATTGTGATACTAAAAGCAAGACAATGTTTGAAATTTTTAAGATTGAATTTAATTGGAAACATCAGGCCAGACACTACCAAGGCACATCAGCGGTATAGGAAGCCTAAAGCCTAATCTGCCTATGTCTGTCCACGAGGGAGAGATGCACACGCGTTGACATTGCCACGCATAGATTCCCTAAAGCAGGGGTCGGCAACCTGTTCCCATCAAAGAGCCATTATTACCCGTTTCCCACATAAAGTAAACATTGGGAGCCACAGCAGCCGCGGCGTTGTGGGCGGGGCCTACCCTCAGACAGCAGAGAGCTGCTTTAACCAATCACAACAGGTGACAGCAGCCAGTACCGGTCGCTCGTGTACGTCAAAGCTATCTTTCATAAGAAGATGATCAATAAAACGATTTATATAAAGTGGATCCAGAAGTTGTAGCCCGTCTGCCTACAATATTTTGATATTTTTCACCCTGTTGGTGGTTTTACTGAGCAGGTGCCACTTTTGTCATACGTTTCTTTTTAAAACATGTTTAGACTGTTCAGAATACAAATCCAGGCTCTGTCACGTTTGATTGTTGTTATTAAACTTTGTAGGTGGGGAAGGTCAGAAAAGGATCCGATCATTTAGTTTTTCCCTCATTTACAGTGACGGAGATAACGGCGCAGTGCGCCTGGCTCTGCTGTTAATCAAGTTTAATTATATCTCTTTGCAACAATTTTCACAAGAAAACAGAACAGTTAAAAGCAGGGCTTGTGTTGACCGGATAGTTCCTGTATTTGACCGACGGAGAAAGAATAGAAAGAATTACCCCGACGCATGCAGACGAACTGACATTTTATTCTACGCACATTGCAGATGTAGCTAAATCGCTCAAGAAAATATTTCCTTCTGAAAATCTGAGATGGACACTGCTCAGCGCAGCTCGCTGTCAGCGTGTACTACATAAGGTACACAGCGAGCTGAAGATGTGGAGAGGGGGTTGGAGCGCATCGCAGAACCAAAGCGCATGCAGGAAGATTCCTCCGACTGAAGCGAGACTTGTCACTTAGAAAATGTTCCCTGATTATGAAACTTTGGCTGAATAGCGCTTGTTCCTGTCTCCAATGTGGCGTCACATCCAGGAGCCTGTCTGAGGAGAATCCCAGAATCTCACATCCTCTTCAGCTCAGAAAGCGCCTATGATTACGCACAAGCGTGACCCATCAACCCGGTCTCACAGTAAGACTGGGTTGGACCTGTTCAGGTTTACGCAGACAATCTTTACATTTAGAATTGGCATACAGATGTAAAATTTATGCAGTAAAATATAAAGCATTTTATTTAAATATCCATTCATTATTTTACAAGCACAGAGAGCCGCATCAGATGGATGGAAGAGCCGCATGCGGCTCCAGAGCCGCGGGTTGCCAACCCCCACCATAAAGCAACATCTTATTGTTCCATCAGCGCAAAGGCGGTAAAAACTGTTGCCACCTAGAAGTCGGAGTTTGATTTGCACAACACACAAAATAAATACAGTAAACAGTTTGCATCTAAATCCCTAATAAAAAAATTGATACACTGCTTTTTAAATAATGATTTCGTATCAAAAAACTAAATATTGCACTCTTTCAGTTTATTGGTATCTTATATCCGTAGCAGCCAGACTTAATCAAGACCAGAAGCCAAAGATTGCTAAAAACAATAATAATTTTATACCTGTAACTTTTTTATGTTTAACTTCCAAGGAGATGGACTTCCTTGTAAACTTGAAAGGTGTCTTGATAAAAGGTTTTCCAATATTTCTCAAGGGCGTTTGATTATTCCCCCTTCAAATGCCTACATCTCAGATCTGCACCCGCCTCACAAGACCTCCTTTAATCAGAGTAATGTGTCAGAGTTAAGTCAGGCAATAGGGGCATGTTGACTTCAGAATTGGATTTTGGCAGAACTGTGAAACCTGATATTGGGAAACGTGTGGAAAGAGGCTTATCAATGTTACTGTGTATAGGGTAACAACAACTCCTCACACTGTCAGCAAATTACAGCTCTCAGTCTGTGACGTCTGTGTTGTGTGTGTGTGTTTGTGTTTTATAGAGCTGCATATTTGACTGTTCAAAGTGGAGACATGCTAATTAGGGGGGTTTACCTAGTGTGAAATCTGGCGTGGTTGTGGGCAAAAATCTAAATTTATATTAATTGTTCTGTGTGATTCTTAACATCTTTAATCTTTATCTACAAGTTAGAAAAGGAAGATTGAAATATTTTATTTTACTTCATGAGTTAGCTTGTGAATGAGCGCATCTCATGCTAGACTTCGGTTGTGAGTGTTTGCATGGCGAGTGCACCATTAGACCTCTGTATTGTGGTTATGTGATATGTTCTGAGGTTCTCCAGTTGGTGCCTAATGGACTTACTTTCTGATTATGTCTCAGGTTACTTGTGCTTACAGTCTGCCTCAAGCCAGACGTTTTTTGTATGCGTCTATGTGTCTTGATTACTTTGTAATAATTATATTGCGAAAAGAATTATACTGTTCTGACATTGCAACACAACCCTTAATTATTTTATTGAACCAAGATGGAGGTGGTGCCTCAGCTGGCCAGCATTTGAGAAAAACATTGATAGTTTCATAATTTCTCCACCCTAGAAATACCGTAAAAACCGTAGCAGTAGCAAAAGATTTTGCACAGCAGGTTGGTCTAGCCATGCTCCATTGTAGTTGGCAGAACAAAAAGACAGAAGTGTCATCGAAGATCGTATGAAAGACCTCTAGACCAGAAATGGAGTGATCATAGTGTGTGTGTCTCACTCGTTTTGTCAACTCCACCTACTGGTTACTTGTATATTAGAGCGTTCGGACACTTTGCAGTAATTTCGGGGATGTGTAAATCAACACAAGTTACGCGTGGCAGCCACTTTAAACATCCGTACATGTCGTTAAACAGCAAGTATATTCCAGCTCTTAGTCCCTGCAGAAAAAAGCATCAAACAAATGCTGAGTTGGTTGAATTTTAATTCACTAACAGCTGAACTCAGACTTCTCTTCATCTAATTCACAGCGCCCAAACTTCTCAATAAAAATGCAATAATTATTTGTTTGTTTTATTTGTATTTATTTATTTGCTGATCAACATCAACTGCCTACTTGAGAGATACAATTTTGCCTTTCTAGAAATACTATTGGGGCCACAAAAAGCCACTCGGTAGGCTGCAAATGGCCCCCCGGCCGGCTTTTGGACATGTCCAGTCTAAGGAGAAACTCAGGATTTCCTACGCCTGCCTTTTAGAACAGTGAATAGACACACGGTTTATTTGCAAACCGAATGTTTTGAGCTGTAGAAGAGCAGATGCTGGGATGAAAGGATGAATTTGATCTGGTGGTCTGAGAAAGAGTGAAACAGATGGTTCTGAAGATTCTCATCATCAGATCCATTCTGCAGCTGGTAAAATGAGAGAAGGAGCAAATACTGTTTCCTGAAAGGGCCAAGTTCATCTGTCTGCAGGCTTATCGACCCGATCTTCCATTAAAGCACTTTAAGAAGCTCGTTCTTTTATCTATTCTTTGTCTAAGGCTGTGCAGGACAACTTCACCTCAGTCACTCAAAGAATTTCATAAAATGTTTAGGCCTTTCTTTTCTCAACATAATCATATCCTGTCTGAGTTACATTACCTGGTGTGTGGGTGAAGTGCACTGCAGTGGCCTGCTTAAATGCCCCCTTCATTTGCTCGCCTGTTAATGATTTAACAGGGAGGAAAGGCAATCTGAGCAGACAACATGGCTGACACAGCAAAAGAAAGATGAGCAAAGGGTTTTTGCCCCCTCTGGAAACAAAAACAATCTTGTTCTGTTTAACAGTCATCACAGGTGGCCAAATATTTAATATTTCAAGCTCTTCTCTGAGTCTGTAACACGAACGGCAACTTAATCAAGGTTGGTGTGATCATTTTAAAGACTAACTTTTTCCTGTTATCTTTTTTTTCTTCTGGGATTTTATTAGACTGAAGAAGCGAAAGCAGCTCCGGTCGAGCCAATCAGAAAAAAGTCCAAATGATCGGAGCCTTGCATTAATCTCCGATGACCCCATCAGGAAGGCAGAGCCACAGAGAGTGAAGCCATCTGCAGGTTTAGGTACCCCCCACCCCACCCCACACACACACACACACAGAGAGAAAAAACACAATTTAAAGTAGTAGTTTGATGTCTTTTCTACATATGTTTCTATGGAAAATGACTGTTGAATGGCTTCAGTTTGGAGAAACAGAGATTAGTTTAGATCAAGAAGAAATTTACAGATCACTTAGAATTTGATCTTCTCAGTAACATTTGTCCTGCTGTTTAGCTTCACGTTGATATTTAAAATGATGATTATTTAGTAGATTGTAAAATTATTACACTGTAAGAACAGAAACATCCCATTAAAATGTTTTTTTCTTCTTTTTTCCTCATTTTCCTTTTTTTCTTCCAAACATTTTCTTGTTTTGTCTCCTTTATTTTATCTCAGTTTTTCTCTATTTTTCTGTATTTTCTCTTATTTATTTTTTCTCTCTCTTTTTGCTTCTTTTAGATTATTTTAGAATAAAGTTGGGTGTTTTCAAACGGAACAGTCTGACCAAGTCGTCCGAGTTGGGATTAAGCTGGTGGTGAAACAACCTCAGCAGTTTTAAACAGGAAGTTGCATAATTTACTTCCTGCTCCGTTTTAAAGTCGGTTGTGACATTTAGAGTCAGAACACTGCATTTGCTAAGTTTGTTAGCACCAACGTTATCCAAAAAAAAAAGATGCTTTAAATGATGTATAATCCCATAAAAATCAGCTTTAATAGATTTGTAAAGTTAATCTGAGGTCAGTTTTCTTCAATCTCAAGTTCTTTTTTATTTTTTTTACGATTTGTTTAAAAAAGCTGAAAACATATTAAAATGCAACATTCAGCCCTCAGGCTCCTGCTTCTTTATTTATGTTGGAGTTTGTTTTCAGCATCCTCGCCACGTCTAGCTCATCCTCAGCAATACCAGACTTCTGTTCAGCCTCAGCTGTGTAAACAAGGCCATAACAGGCCGCGGGCTACAATTATGTGTTCATATCACAATACATTCTGCAGTGTAATAAAACACAACTCTCACACATGTAACACACAGAACGGTGTCAGCCACAGCTGCGTACCGACTCTGAATGCAGCGTTTCATAACAGCTGGAGTTCGGGAGTCAATTGCTTAGTCATCCCCCCGAGTTTCAGGCTGTTGGGAAGTGGTGCACTAATGGCTTCTGTGTCCTGGCAAGAAGAAAATGCTGACAGTTGAACTTGTCTCCAAGAAGAGTCCGATTGTCTGTGCGTGCTCATAGTAACCGCTTCAGCATGGGCTGTTTAAAAGCTGCATAACGACCGGTGCTGAGGATGAACCCAGGATGTTTAGAGGCATCTCTCTGCTCGGGTTTAATTACTGTCTTTTTGTTTGACTCCTGGCACCTTCAGGTGATGGCTGCAAAAGTAACAAGCAGACCAAGATGGAGAGGAAGAAGCCACCAGGAACAGTGGAGTTTATTGTAAGCAACGTGCAGCAGTGTTATTTTTGACTTGTTTGTAATTTTATAAAACGCCCTTAGGCTTCAGATTTCACTGAGAAGCTGACTACTCGTTGCAGGTGGGACCTGATGATTCCCTCAACAGCATCGCACTTAAATTCAACGTCACCCCAAACAAGCTGGTCCAGCTCAACAAGCTCTTCTCTCGCAGCGTCTATCCCGGTCAGGTGAGCATGCCGAAACCACCGCGCGGCTATGCTAGCTTGCGCTCCATTTCGTGGATTAGCTCACTGCCAGATTTCCGTCGTTATCACAGAAGCTGTTTGTCCCCGATCTGAGCCAATCAGAAGCTGACCTGAAGTCTCCAACTTCCTCTGACCCCTCCCTCACTAATATTGTTCCTGACAAACATGTGAGTAAAACGTGATCCACGCCACGCTGGTTCTGTGTATGTACTGGTGGCTGTTTTCTAGACATCTCTGGTGTTTTTCCTGATCGTGTTTCAGGATTGTACTCAAAGCTGCCGGTCAGCCAAGTCCATCCGTCGGGAGCTGTCTCCTAACTCGGAGGACGAGAGCCCGGCGACGGTTAAATTCATCAAGATGAGCTGCAAGTACTTCACTGATGGCATGGTAAGGTTGGTGATGTTGGCGGTCGTTCTGAGCTCTTCCTCCACACACTCTAACGTAGAGAAATTCGTTTCACGTGAAGTCACGACTGTGTTGGTGTTTTAGGGAGTGGTGGGAGGTGTTCTCATCGTGACGCCTAACAACATCATGTTCGACCCCCACAAGTCCGACCCCCTGGTGATCGAGAACGGCTGCGAGGAGTACGGCCTCATCTGCCCCATGAACGAGGTGGTCTCGGTGGCGCTGTACGATGATTTGTCTCGCATGAAGCTCAAAGACACCCTCCCCTCGTAAGAGTCATGTTTCTGTCCTCCGAACGGCTCCACCAGGCCTTCATCCTCACTCCTCCTTTTTTCTCCTCCCTCATTCGGAGATTTTGTTTACTGTTTTGCATCATGTTTGTCATTTTCATTTGGGTGTCATGTTCATTTTTGTTGCACGTCTTTTGTTTTCCCTGTACTTTTTGTTTCCCCTGCCACCACCACCACCACCCCCCCCCCTCCCATCCTGTTTCCGGTGTGTGTGATGCCCCCGTGACCTCACAGAGACCTACCTCAGGATCTGAGTCCTATCTACAGGCCCGTGGACTGGGAGCAGCTTCCGTCGGAGCGGGAATTGAACCCCTTTAGTCGGTATGAAGCTCTGGTTCCAAAATGTCCCATAGTTTTGGATGACATCGAATCCACGCTGTCTGAAACTGGTAAGATATCACCTCTGTGTGTGTGTGTGTGTGTGTGTGTGTGGGGGGGGGGGGGTGATCCCCTCACCCAAACAGTCGGATTATCTTTGTTCTTTGGAAGAGCTTTAAAAAGTTTTCTTCCCCTCAGTGACCCCAGAAGGCAAGCAGGCTGAGAAATCTCCATCTGATGAAGGATTTACTGAGCTGGAACCAAATGTCAACAGGAGAACCGAGGAGGCAGAGGGGGCGCCCTCCGCAACACTCGGCGCGGACCGTTATGAACTCGCAGTACCAAGCTGTCCAAGCTGGGGTAAACTCCCGGACAATTCAATGATTGGCCAAGCCAAAAGGAGGCTGGATGATGATGAGGACGAAGGAGTTGCTCAGAACAGCTCCATCGTGGACGGAGAGTCGATGCAATCCTCCTCCGAGACAAAACTGAAAGCTGTTAAAGCTGCAGGCCCGCAAGTAACTGAAACCAAAGATGTGAAGGCTGAAGGACCCGAGGAGCTCCTAAGTTGCGTAGGTGATAAAATAATCAGGAAGCTCAGTCTTCAGGAGGATTTAGGGGATTGTGGAACATCTGGTCTGGGAGGACAAAACCCAGGCAGACCAGCAAACGGGGGCAAGGCCGGCGAGGAGAGACTGAAGAAAAACTACGAGTCAGAGATGAAATCCTGGCTGCTGAAGAGGATGCAGGCTCCAATAGAAGGTCTGCATTCAGCTTGTTTAGTCTGCAAACAGTGGAAAGGTTAAAATTCTGATAAAGAGCTGGTATTTATCAATTTTTATTTTTATTTATTTATTTTTTTTGTGTGTGCAGACATGCTTTTGTCATCGAAGGAGAAGAGTAAAAACCCGCCAATGTTCCTCTGCTTCAAAGTTGGGAAGCCAATGAGGAAGTCCTTTGCCATCAGCATGACCTCCAGTCCAGCTCCCTGGTTCAGGGGTCAGGAGACTCAGCCAGAGTACTGGTTTGCTGTGCCACAGGAAAGGTGACTTAAAACTGGGGGGGGGGGATGATAAAAACACCCATCTGTTCTCTGTTTTAATAAGAAATCTGTGTGTCTGTTCCAGGGTGCACGATCTGTATTCCTTTTTTGTTCAGTGGTCTCCTGATGTGTATGGGAAGGAAGCTCGGGAGCAGGGCTTCGTCGTAGTGGAGAAAGACGAGCTGGACATGATCGATAACTTCTTCAGTGACCCTTCATCTTGCAGCTGGGAGGTGATTAAATCATGTTAACCCCCCACCAGCTGCACCAGTATAGAAGTGAGGGAGGATTACATTCACACCTGCACTTGTGTTCCAGATCATCACCATCAACGAGGCAAAGCGAAGGCAGAGCTTCGGCAGCTGTGACAAGGACACCTCTGTGGATGCTTTGCCTTTTCTTATCGATAGCAGCGATGTGTTGCAAGACTTTCACATTGAGAAGGTGAATCGACTTGCGTTGTGATAACACCTTTTAGACATGCCTGTTTTTAAATCCTTGTTGATGTACCCCCCCCCCCCACCCCCACCCCCAGCTGGCTAGTCGCCTTCCAGCCCGGGTGGAGGGATATCCATGGAGACTGGCGTACAGCACGGAGAAACATGGCACCAGCCTGAAGACTCTGTACAGGAACCTGGCATATGTGGACAATCCTGTGCTGCTGGTCATCAAAAACATGGATGACCAGGTAAATAACTGCTTGACTTTGGCGCCCCCCGGTGGAGGTAGCAGGCATTGAAACTAAACCCTTCCTAGGAGGGCATGTTAGAGCCACAGATGGAAACAATGAATTTTTTTGTTTCACACTTTTGAGATTGAAGAAAAAATTTAATGGTAAATATTTCAGAACATGTTTTTAATCAATTATTTCTGTAATTTATACCTAGAGCTGGTTATCTAGGCTCTTATTGTGAAGGGTTGAAGGAAGTTCTCTTGAGTTCTTCTAGGAATAGTTCAAGTATTTTATTTTTATAATTTACCTGGTGAAAGCTCACCCAGAGCCCTCGGATACAATTGTGATAAAAACAATCATTATTCGGACGTAGGAACACATTACAGTTCTCTTTCCCAGGGCTATTGACCTTCTATTTTGAAACTTTTCCCCCCAACATTTTAATTTTAATCTTGAAACGGGTAAACCATTTTTTAAAATTCTATTTAATTTAATAGAAAACTCCTGTAATTGATAAAATATACTGCTTATATAATTAAAATGTCGTTCATTACAGATTTTTGGGGCATTTTCCACACATCCCTTTAGAGTCAGCGAGCACTTCTACGGCACTGGGGAAACCTTCCTCTTCAGCTTCTGCCCTGAACTTGAGGTTTGTACATAAAAAAAAGTTTCTTTGTTATTTAAAGAGCAAGTCCCCCTCTACCAGAGTCTTACTCCACTCCCACTTGCTGTTTGAAAAATGCAACAAATGCTGTTGCCTGGCAGACTGATAGGGCAGAGCCACTAACAAATACACACAGGCTCACAACGGCATTATGACATCATATGGTACCAGCTGACATCATAGGGTACTTCTCAGCCAATAGCAATGGCAGATTTTAATTCAAATGCAGTGCAGTTTTTACCTGAAGACGGCGCAGCACTGACAGTATTAGAATATTTAAAGAACTAAGATGCAGTAAAGTGCCAAATTATTGACAACACGTGTCTACAGCATGATTAGACGCTCATTTTTATAGTTTATCAGCAAAAGGAAGTTGATTTGAGGGTGACTTGCTTTTTAAAGGGATACTTTGCAACTTTTTTATATTCTTAAATCATTTTCGAAAGCCAGTATGAGCTAAAATGACCCTTTACAGGGTTAATGAAAGGCCACCCAGCCCCACTGCCCCCTGTGGCCAGAATGTTCCACTTGCAACTTCAGAATGGTGCCGCTCTGTTGGGACTTGAGCTGACGTACCTGTCACTGCAGTCTGGTTCCAGCACGTTTCTTGCATGTTTTAGATCATGAACACAGCTGATTTGTTTAATTTAGTGATGAGTCCCTCCTGTAGACACTGATGAAGGCTGAGGAGATGTTTCAGCTGTTAGATTTGGATGTTAAAATGACAAACGCACAGCAAGAAGATTGATTTTGATTTCTGTTCTACAAATGGCCACTAGGGGTGCTAAAAACAAGCCAAAACTCCCTAGTTCCCCTTTAACTTTGACAATGAGATTTGAATGACTTTGACATCTGAGATTATTTGATGTTTATTGTCAGGTGTACCGCTGGACTGGAGAGAACTCTTACTTTGTGAAAGGCAATACCGATTCTCTGCAGATGGGAGGAGGCGGGTGCGTACGCCTTCCAGACATTTAAGAACTTAAGATTGTCTGAATATTTGTTTTAAAACTGAACCTTTTTCTGCTCCTTTCACTGCAGAGGTCACCTGGGTCTTTGGCTGGATGGCGAGTTGTACCGAGGCACCACCACCAAATGTTCCACGTTTGACAACAAGCCTCTTTCCTTGCAGCCGGACTTCAACATTCGCAGCCTGGAGGTGTGGACCTTCGAGTAGCCTCACCGACTTGAGAATCAGTGAAATACATCACTTGGAGGCAAAACTATAAACAAAGTGTGCTGAGAGACAGAAGCAGATGGTGAGGTTGTTTATTTCGGGGAGGCTGCAGGTCAGCTGGCATGTTTACAACATCCATTTAAAGGTGGAATTAGTCAGACAACATATTTCCGTTTATCGCAGTTCATCAGCTGCTTTCAAACTCACACCCTAACTCCTGCTTCTCCACCATAAAGGCTGGCAATAGCTCACAGAGAGAAGACGGAGACTTCTGGCTCTGTAAACCATGACCTTACTGTTCACGTTATTCTAGAGAGAGATTTATGTTTGTGTTCAAGGATAGGAAGTGCCGTGAGCTTTTCTGTGCAGAAATGATGACTATGATAGTGATATGGTTTGTATATTTGACAATGTACATAGATATACTGAATGAACTTGGATTGGTAATTATTTTACGTCCAAAATTAAGTTGAAAGTTTGAGTTAAGTAAAGATGATTGAGAAGTTTGCATTCGCTTTCCTTTAAAGCTGACTTGTTTAGAGTGTTTTTGTCAGATTTCTTTACCAAATAATAAAGTTTGTTTTTATTCCATGTTGAACTCAAATCAACTAGTAGAGCAAGAAAAAGTTTGCAATGACTAAATATTGCTTTTTTTGTCTGCTATGACATATTTTATATTTATGAATATTTTTGCATAGTTTATTATTTTTTTATGAGGGATCTTTGGTTGCAGTCAACTAAATTCTGTCCCACTCAGAATAATTTAGTCTTTAAATTGTAGTTTGTGTATGCGTGTGCGTGCTGTTGAGCCAGTAGATGTTCAACATGATGCCACTTTGCACTGTTACAAAGCATTACCGAATATAAAACTGTCGCTGAATGTTGTTGAACCCTAAACCACATGAGGGAATAGCTGGCTGTCCAGTCACGGCTCCATCTTTGTTTTTATTAAAGATGGAGAAGTGATGATCTGATTTTTGCACTCTGACATACCACTAACTAAACATTTGCATTCACTAACATAGAAATGAAATACTCATTTTTATGTGATAAAGGCTTGTAGTGCATGAACATTCAGTTTGGCAAAAATCTGACACCACCACCTGCCAAACTATTCATTAATGTCAGAAATGGCTTCATGTGAAAATGAGCTTTTGTTGCTTTGAGTTGTTCATTGTTGTAACTGTGAATCCAAACTGTTCTGTGATGTCACCAAAAATCTATTTATTGTGTTGTTATTGCGGCCACCTATAAACCTAAATAAACGTTAAAGTACACATCTCTATGAAAAGTGTTTAGTTTTTTTCCCCCCCAAGATGTTAAAGGAGACATATTATGCAAAACTTTTGAGTCTTTGTGTGCTGCCATGTGGGTCTCTACTGCCTCTATAAACGTTCCAGACAAGTTTCTAATTAGTCTGAGGGGGATGAGGGTGGGCGTGGCCAGCTCCAGGTGGCTTTCTTAAAGTGTCAGAGCCCTGAAACGGCTCATTCTAGATGGGTGTACACCATGGTGTACACCAGGGCTATTCAAGTTTGGGCCTTGAGGGCTGGTATTGACCCTTTGCACCGACGTCACCTAATCACGTGGGTCCACCATGGTGGACGGCAAAAGCATGTAAACAGTGAGCGACACGATTACTAAAAGGGAAAAGTAGAGCCTGAAATTTTTTTTGCGATCAAAACAAAACAACTCCAGCATTCCTTCCACTAGTTCATGCCCAGTTCAGTTATCAGAAGAAGTAGCGCATCTAGCGGGGCTCATAGAGAGCGGTATGTTAACTAGCTTACCAACGTTAGCTTACGTTCTCTCTGCAGCTGTTCACCGATGTAAACATGTTGCTGACTTTGCCTAAATTCACCCCTCTGGATTTATAACATTATGTTGTAAACAGCGTTTCACTTTACACCAAAGCTGATTTTTAAAAAGTTCGGATCCCTACCAGCTTCTGTTGCTGGTGGTGTTACCGGGTTCAGCTGCTGCTCTCACACCGGAATGAGAAGATCTCTGAACGGTGACGCTCATGTAAATAAATAACGTCATTTTAACGCACGTAGTCATACATCAGAGCTTTAATATTGTTAATAATTGTCTCGCTTTACACTACAGTGGATGGAGCGCAGCCTCCGTGGTGAAATACCCATCCATCAGGATTATCAATAACTAGTATAAACACATCACATTTATCCCTGTCCCTGTCTTCCTCGTGAAATAAATGAACGTTAATCTTACCCGGTAAAAACATGTTCGCTGCAAATCTGAGGGCTGCTAGCCCGCGGATCGCTGCAGTTCATCTCCGTCCTCAGTCTCCATCAAAGTTATTAAAAAGAAAAAACGAGTTTAGTTTACGTCCTTGTCTCTTAGTGCAGCCAACCACGCAGCAAGCTAAAACCATTTTACTGTCAAATCAACTAAATAAAAGCGATAAAAGGCTACAAACTGTCTTGTTTTGACTAGCTTCACTGGAGTTTCAATGGGTGTAAACGGTCTTTTTTCCGTCCATCATGGGGAAGGGGGCGGTCACATGAGTGGCGTGACGTCACGTGCAAAGGGTCAATCCAGCACATTTTAGTGATTTCTCTGGTCCAACACACTAGATTCAGTGGTTGAGTTACCTGTGCAGCAGCTCATCAGGCTCTGCGGAAGCCTATTAATCACCTGCTGATTGAAATCAGGTGTGTTGAAGCAGGGTTCAAACTAAAACATGCTGGATACTGGCCCTCGAGGCCTGGAACTGAATAGCCCTATACACTATTGACTCATTCTGGAAAGTACTGAAATTTTCAAGAATAAACAGCTGAAATCACTTTATGTGAAAAGAATTTAGTGCAAAGAACTACAAAAACATGTTTGTATCAACCACAGAACTATCATAACAAAAGAAAGTAATATCTCCAAAGATGCAGTCTGGCAATGTATTAAAGTCGTATAAATGTTTTAAATGATAGGTTAGAAACTGTGCTGCTCCCATAGACATAGATACTGGACAGATAATGCGCATTGTCTCTGGATGAAACAAAGTGGGAGGTTTCCACCGCCTCCATTTTGGCCGTGTCACACGTCTTGTCACGCCCAGACAATCCAAAAAAGGTAGAAGCTGTTACGGTTAGAACAAATTAACCAATGTAGCTACTAGCTAACTTAGCTAACCCAAGAAGCTAAGAAGGAGCTCCAGGGTAGCTGATCTGCGTGATCATCTGGCTTCTGTGCGAGGCTACCTATAGAGCTCTAATACAGACTTAAAATACAAGCAGAGCGTCAAACCGCTGTGATCGGAGCCGGGCGCCCTGGCCACTTACATCAGCTCATGCTCTACCACAATCGGAGATTGACGGACATTAGTAAAATGCTAACATAAAGCTAACTGAGTTTTTCTGGACGTTTTTAGCAATAAATATGTAGTTGAGCCACTCCAAAGTGAAGGCACCGCCAGCCTGCTGGTATTGCGTGCTTCAAAACTAAACTGTCATCTGTGAAAGGATGTAATACTGTTTTCTGTGAGTACAGCACTGACTGAGTTGAGGACAGGACCTAGTCACTATAGGAACCTCAAGATGTGTCCACCTCCGAAGAAGACAAAATGAAAAAGGTGTACAGTGAATCAGAAAGCGATAATTAGTGCATTCTTTCAATACAAATCAGGTTAGTAATTATGTGACAAAATTATTTACCCGGTAAATTCATGGGAACGTGTCATTAGTTGTTGATATTATTTCTAGACCAGGAGCTCTGCTTGCCACTGGGGAAAATGTTGATGAGCTTCCAGCTGTAGCGGTGGTGGACTTGGTTCATGATAATGAAGAAAAAGACACCAATGACCATGAGTCTGTCGACCCAACTTTACCTGAGAGCAGAGGTGTGGACTAGAGTAACATGACTTGAACTCGAGTCAGACTCGAGTCATTATTTTAATGACTTCTGACTTGACTTGATAAATCTATAAAGATTTACGACTTGACTCGGACTTGAACGCTAATGTAAAGTCCAGCAATGGTCAGTTTAGGTACAGTCTGACCTTTCAACATCTATTCAACATCTGGTCAGAAGGGAGACACAACACTGCATGTGTTCCCTTTAAATGAGCCTGCCTTCATACCAGCTGGGGCTCACAGACTCTGCTGCCCTGAAAGATAAACCATAACTTTCTTTCCCAAGGTCCCATCTGTCAGGTGAGATTAGCTGAGCTGATGTTTAGCGAAGGTTGCTTGTAGCGTGGCTGTGTGACCCAGACGCGGAGTGGCTGGCGTTGGGTTATACAGAGCACGCGGCTTTAATCTGGGAACGGCGACGCAGCGCTCGGAAAGAGCCGAGGCTGAACGGCAGCTCCGAATAAACAAGGAAGCTGATTTACTGGTGGTAGGCAGCGAGGAAAGATCTCTTTCCTGGTTTGAGGGCTGGTGAGCCTGAGAACTCGGGTCGATGTCTGGCATGGACGATGACTGAGTGATAACTCAGCGGCGGTGCTTCCGTAAATAGAGTCGGTGCGATGACGTCGTCAACCCACGCCGGTGATGGGTATGCTGGGTAATGTAGTACTCCGCTAGTTAGGTCCGTAGGGGGTGGTTAGCAGGAGGAGTTCATGACACCATCTGTCTGCCTCCACAGAAGGAAGAACTCCAGCTCAAATCAGTTGCTAAATTCAAGAATGATTTCCTAAATCAATATGAACTTCTTCCATGACTCATAATCTAGATAATCATTAAATAAACATTTGTTTATTACTACTTATAATAATTATAGTATAATGAAATGCTTCATTAATCTGGGATGTTATGTTATGTTTGTCTACTAGAACCTGCCATGTGTTCAACATGTTTTGACGACGAGGTCCTCACATCTGCCCTCACACAATAACAAGTACGGCTAAGTTAAACTCCAACACATAACTTGCCCTTTTAACCGGTCAGAACATGTGGTGTCAAAGAAGGTGTGTTTCTGAGTTGTCTTGGTAAGATATCTCAACTTTGTCAACCTCTGATTGGCTGTGCAAGTCATAACATCAAAACCTTAAAACTGGATCATCTTGAGTGATTCGACAGTTCTAGAGAATCGCTCAGACCGGCCATCTGTAGCAAAACTTCTTTAATCATCAAAGATTTTGACACGTCATCAAAACTTTTTTGCACCTGCAAAGCTGATGAGCAAACAGTTCCTGCAGAAACAAAGCTGATGAGCAAACAGTTCCTGCAGAAACAAAGCTGATGAGCAAACAGTTCCTGCAGAAACAAAGCTGATATCGTTAGACTCCTTAAGAGTCCGCCAGACGCACGGTTCCATCCAGCTGTTGTGACCCGAGACATCTCCGGACTGAAGAGTTGGTACCACGGTATTCTACAACCCTCCGGTGCCAGAGGTCAGCCGACCCCTGCGACTTTCGGACCCACCAAGAGGGTCTCTCGAAAACGGGTGAAGTAGACATGACAGATTTCGTCTGATGTTCTTCTGATGATAACAACTTTATAGCTTAGAGCAAACCAAATTCTCACCAGATCTCAGCTTATTTTGATAAGGAAGCTCTGACTGACATTGCATTCACACATAGGTTCCTTCATCACGTTTAGTTACATCCACTCACAGTAAATGCTTAGTTAATTAGTCATGTTTTAATTGTTTGTAAAATAAATTCTTACTTTTATAAACCTGACTCTTTCTTGAAATAACACGAAGTGTGGTTGATCACTGAAAAAGCAAAGAACCTAGATCTTCTGAATTAAATCCTAGAATCTTCTGATAATATAAAATAAAGACCTAGCAGGTTAATATTTTATATTTATAAAGAATATTACATCTTCCTGGTCATAACAAATAAAAATCATTGATTTTCCTACGCTACACTAATGACTTGCAACTTGAATCGACTTGCATCTGTTGACTTGACGATGAGGTGAGCGAGCATATTTGATATTTTAGCACAAAGTGGCATGACATGGACAAAAATCATAAATCATTCTTCGTTCTGGGTTTGATCTTGTACTGCTAAATGCAGCAGCACTTTGTTCATAATCAGTTTCTGTTGCACTTTCTGCTCGTTTGAGTAAATAAATGAAGTTTTAAGAATCATTATTTGTGGAATGCAGTTATTATCATTGTCGTTAAATTGAAGTTGGACAGATGACTTGATTATGACTTGAAAATTCAAAGTAAAGAATTTGGACTTGACTTGGACTTCTAGATCATTGACTTTGGACTCGACTTGGACTTGGTTGTCTTTGACTTGGACTTGACTCGAGACTTGACTGGAAAGACGTGTGACTTGCAAAGCAGTGACTTGGTCACACCTCTCTCTGCCTGAGAGCATCAGAGTTGACGAACCTGACAACATAAATTTTAAGGTTCCATAACATCTTCGCATTTAAAGACGATCTTTGTGCGTAACATACGTCATTACGTAACTATGAGGGCGCAACAATGCGGAAACAAAACATCCGGTGACACCGGCACCAAAAGTTCAAATAGAAAATATGGCAAATAAAGATTGTGTCTCGGGTGATGATATCGATAAAACGTGTATTTTCTGTTTGGTAGCTCGCGGCAGAGATAAAGAAACGACAGTTATTAAGCAGGTAAGTCGTTTAGACACGAACATTAATCCCTGTTGACTTGACGATGAGTTGAGCATATTTGGAAATGTATTGTTGGAAATCACACATCACTTACGTGAGGGGAAAGTTAGCACGGGGCATTGCTGTCTTGGGGAAAGTAAAACATTTTCTGGATAGGAAAACATTATATATGTTATATTGTGCTTTCATATTATCATACATGAGTTATTGTGTAGAAGTTTGGGGAAACACATATAAAAGTAACATTCAGACCATAATCATAATGCAGAAAAGGGCTATTAGACTAATAAATCAGGAGGGGTATAGGGCTCACACAAATGCACTCTTTATTAAGACGCAAGCTTTAAAATTCCAGGACCTGGTCAAGTTTAAAACAGTGCAAATAATATATACGGTAAGGAAAGGGATACTCCCAATTGAAATAAGTAAATGGTTCTTAGAAAGAGAAGGGACGTATAATTTTAGAGGGAAGTGGAATTTAAAAGTACAAAGAGTAAGAACAACATTGAAAAGGATGTCTATTTCAATAGCGGGCATTGAATTCTGGAATGAGTTAACAGAAGAAATAAAGGACAGTAGTAATGTAAACCAGTTTAAAATAAAACTCAAAAAAGAAATGTTAAATAAGTATAAGAATGAAGAAAATGCAATTAACCTAGGACGGCGTGCAAACTGATGTTTAATCTCTTCTACAAATTAAAAAATCCAAATATAGTTCTAGTTGAACATGAGAATTTTATTTATTTATTATTATTGTTATTTTTTTGTGTGTTTTTTAAGGCATTGTAACTGTTTTGTTGTTTAAATTTTGATGATGAGGATGTAAACCTGAGGGGGTAGGGCTAAATAAGTATACATTTCTCCCTACTCCTTTTCAAACAATTGCGTTGAATGATTTTATGAAATGTTGGTGAATGTATATGTATGAAATAAAGTGAACTGAACTGAACTATTGTCAAAAGAAAATGACCTTGTTTCTGATACTGACAGTATTATAAACAATATATTACAAAGTTGGGAAGATAAAGGGAAGAATTTTTGTGACTCTTTGTAAGATATGTTTTTGTTCTGAACCTGAATTTTGAAACTTAAAATATAAAAATAAACAAACCAAACTAAAGGAAAATAATAACGAGGATGTCATGTCAGTGCGACATTTTCTAGATACACTTTTGTGGTGTTTTTTTTTTTTTACTCACTTTGTGTTCTGATATTTCCATTCCTCTGCAGAATCAAGAGCTAGTATGTTTCCGAGACATTTTCCCTGCTGCTCCTTACCACTTCCTGGTCATTCCCAGAGAGCATATTGTCAGCTGTCGCTCACTAAACAAGAAGCACATCAGCCTTGGTCAGTTAGAAGTTCTTCCGACTTTTCCTTCCACTGTTACTCTGCTAAAGTTGTTGCTATGGAGGACTTGTCCTGCCAAAACAGAAAATAAACAAGAAAATAAGGACACAAATAAGTAAATAAAAGTGAAATAACATTTGAAATAAATATATACGTATTTGGTAATAAAGATTTATTTATTTTCATTTTATTTCATTATTATTTATTTAAAAAAACAATCTAGTCATATCTCTGCAAAGAAATAACAGGTTATTTATCCAATAGTTGAAAGGATGGTTGAACTGGGAAGAGCTGTGCTGCTGGATCAGGGGATCACTAACATGAACGATGTAAGGTAGGTGGAGAAGGTGGGAAAGTGTTTATTTACTGAAAAAGTTAAGTCCAAGCACTCTTTGTGGTTCATTTACGGATCTCAGCTAAGCTGCATTTTTGACTGATTTCTTTCTCCCTCAGGCTGGGTTTTCACCAGTTTCCCTTCATCTCAGTAAGCCACCTGCACCTCCACGTCCTCGCCCCTGCCAGCCAGATCTCACAGGCCATGATGTTCAAGTTCACTCCAGGAAGTGACTCTTTCATCACCGTGAGTCCTGCTGGCTGCAGCTGCCTCCTAATTCACTCCACATTTCACAGATCCTTATAATCACAAAATCGTCAGATAAAATGCGAAGTTTGAAATCAATTTGCTTCTGTTTCTAGGAGGAATCTCTAAGGAACCGACTAAGGAAAAAGAAAAAAATTGATAGCTGTTTGGGACGCCAGTGAGACTGCAGATCTCGCAGAAAAGGTCTGTTCAACTCTAAAAACTGTGAATCTTCAAAAATACAGACGTCACTACAAACATCTGACAAAACCAGTTAAATATAAACAACATCTACTGAATGGACTGTGTGTTTTCTAAAGTATAATGGGTTTCTGCATATATCTGAGAGTTTTAAATAAAAACTGTTCATTTAATTTTAGGAAACTATAAGAAAAAAAAGTTTTGTATTGTCTCATGTTTCTCAAACTTTATTGAATATTTATTTAACTATGTGTCTCGTTTTTTTTCGTGCTTTTATTTTGTGATCAGAACTTGAAGCAAGATGTGAGGAAGCACCTACAACTGTAGGATAGCAAAAAACAAACTGTCAAAACTCTGAATAATTACACAGATATTTGAGGCTTTCATGAAAAAAAAATATTTTGTGAAGGGAAAAAAGACTAAATAAGTTATTTAAATATTAAAAAGAATAATAAATCTATACATTTAGGTGATAAATGGGTAATTATTATACCCAAAAATTCAAATATGTTTTAAAATTTTCACTTTTTTAGAAATAATTAAGTGGATTATAAATATGCAGACAATTTTATATATTTCGGTCTGTTTTTGTTCTGTTTCTATAATTGTCAGTTCTTTCTTTGAGCCACTTGATGTCAGCAGTGTATTTGAGGTTTTGCTTGCACCATCAGCAGACCTCGCTATATTTGTTTCACTTTTTGAAATAATAACAATAAAGAATTGTATAAATTATATTTTAAACTTGATTTGTTTGGTGGTTTTGTTTTTCTTGTCACCGTTTAATAATCATGTTGTTACGAGAAGAACAAAAAATAGAAAAAAATTCAACTGAATGTTCCTGGACTTAATCAGAAACAAGTCTCTCTTGTTTTGATTCTGTGGATTGTCTCGATCCAGCTGTAGCCTTGGAACACCATCAGTGCAGACCTTGCACAGGAAAAGCAGAGAGGCCAGGTGTGAGTGCATCTGTTCAGAGAAGACTTTTGGAACACAGCTTGGAGTCAACAATGGCAGCAAGAAACCTGATTCTCACTTCTCTCAAAGGAAAATAAAAAACATAAGACAGATGGAAATTCTAATGGTCAAGAGATTAGCAGTGCTGAGAATTTTTGCCTGATCTGATTCTGATTGTTTGGAACATCTAGAATAAGGATGGTCAGTGAAGAAAAGTTGAGCCTCACTATTGCCCCATAGTTTTCAAAAAGCTAGTGGACAAAAAATAAAAAAACACAAATTCTGAAAACTCATGACGCTGATTCTGCCAGATAGGACTTCCATCAGTTGGGATTTATCCCTGAACTTGCCCTAAAAACACATCTAAATGAATTGCCTTGAGGGAAAGAAAGATCTCGCAAATATCGACTATTAGTTTAAATCTAATGAAACTGTCAAAAAAGCCATGTAAACTTGTGAAATACTTGTAATTGTACTTCAGTTTATATGTAAGTTTTAATATACAAACATTTAAACCAACTCTTGTATTATCTCAAAAAATAAACTTGAATGTGTTGTTGCTCACTAATAAAACTGTTTAGCGAAAGCCATAAGCTGTGATGGCTGCTGCTCTCTGGGCCTTTACGTCAGCGTGACTGCTGTGGTGAAGCCCCGCCCTTCCCATCGTCAACAACTGGATTTGGAACTACTTATTTTCGTCAGCTAGCATTGCTAGCAGGCTAACGATGGATTATTGCGTTTGTAAGCGATGACCATTATCCGGGTGGACTTTTATTCACCGTGAAGCGCTTCATTGATGTCTTGGGTCGCACATGCGACTTAAAACGAGCAACAGCAGCGGAAAGATCGACTGGTGAACCGCCCCTTAGCTAGCCCTGGAAGCTAGCGCTAGCCGAGCCGCTGACAGTTGCCTCGGTTAGCTACGTCAATTTAACTCAAACGTAGCTAAGGATTTTTCTGATGCGCAATTCATCATCTCTGACGCTGGTGAGTCTAGCTGTGAGAAATACTTATTAAGACATGTTTAACTTATTGTATTTTACTGTTAGCTAGCATCGCGTTGCTAAAATCAGCTTGTTTGTAGCCGCTGCAGCTACGGAGCCACGACTGGACCATTTAAATATCTCCTCGCTTTATGACAGCAGAGCTTTTTTTTAGCGAGTACTTATTTGCAGTGCTTATGATTGGTGCGTTTGAAGTAATTTAGTCGTTTTGGTCCACAGAAGGTACCAAGGCCCTGGCTGTTGTCACATTGCAGTTTTTCGGAACCCATTAGAAAACACGAGGTGGATCTCGGCTGGACTCGTCGTTGGTGCCATTGAGGCAAATCGAAAGTCAGCAACTTGTCCATGCACGTTGATTTGGATCCTCAAGAGCTGCCAGTATGATGCCGGTGAGTATATGTGATCTTATAGGGTGAATTATACAGCTGGCTGCCTACTGAGGGGGGAAAGTTAATCAAAGTTGTAATTTTCACGGTTAGTTTAAAAAAGAGTAAACACTTTTGGAAGTAGTATCCGATCTCATTTTTGGTTTACATGTTATTACAACTTTGATGATTTATGTCCATAAATGTCATCTTCAGGTGCAGATCTCAACATTTTTTTAAAGGTAGTGACAACAAATAACGCCCATAAAAACATGAAAACATTCATTGGGTTTGGTAAAATGTATTTCTATATGTCAGTTTGAGGTCGGCTGCATACTTCTATCAAGATTTGTTGTTGCACATTAAAAGTGTCCATCTAATGGGTTTCACTGGCGTTATTGTGGAAGATGGCTTTTGTACATGGAGTAAAATCACCCAAGTGTCAACTATAGGAGCAATGCATTGTTGGACCTCTTTTGTTGTCTTTAGTGCTGAGAAGGCAGCGATGAGTCATTGGAAACAAGATTTTGACTTTAAAGGCAAGATGGATTTCCAGCATTCATAATAACATGTCATCATGAATGGAAATGAAACACTTATGAACACGTTTTTGTTGAAATTCTTGTTAGTTAAAAAAACTAAGTAAACCCTCCCTGTAGCACACAATCCCAGGGTGAGGTAAAGCTTTCCAGGGGTAACTAAAGCTGTGGAGTGACAGCGACCCCAGTCTCCTGGACAGTTGTATCCTGTGGCACCAGCGAGCGATCAGAGTCAAAGAGCCAGTCGAGCATAGAGCCATTTAGTTCTGGCGTGACTCCATCAGCCAATGAAACTGTAGCAGATCTAGGTCTGTGTGGCTGCATCAACTCTCGCTCTGTTGTTAAGGGGAATCTTTTGAGCTGGATTGTCAAAAGGCATTAATCTCTCACTGTGGAATTGGGCAGAGCGTGACATACAGGAAAAAGTAAACATCCCACCCTGTTTTTTTTTCTCACTTTCCATCGTCTCCTCTCTTTGGATAATACCAAGCATGCCATCACACATTAACTATAAAGAGCTCCTCATTAAGAAATTAACTATTAAGTCAGATATGGAGGAAAAGGCTTATTTTCTAATTTCACACGGTATACAAATAAAGATGGAAAAAGCTGGGGACTGATTTATTTAACAGCTCACACTTGCTTAAGACTGCAGAATCTTTTATTGGTGGAAGAACTATACATTATTAATCATGCTTTCTAAATGCTGTCATTTTAAATATGGAAAAAGTCACTGAAAAAAGAATGATATTGGTTTATTTGATAATCAGCAAAAATAGTCCTGATTAGGCTTAGCTAGTAAAAAAAAACAAATATATGTTTGGTTGGAACTAAAGAAGAGATGCTTGCCTAATGCCTACATTTTCCTGCTTCGCTTTTTATAAATAATCCACACTGGGACTACTTTGTTGGTTGTATGCGTTTGTTTATTTCCAAGAATTTGATGTAAACCCATCTATGTTTAATAATTAGCTAAACTTGTTGTGTTTATGATACCCGTAGTAATAAATTATGTGGCGTGGAATTAAATGTGGCATGTTTAAATGAATATTGCTTAGATTTATCAAAGGTTAAGTGGTTGTTGTTGTGATTGTTGAACCCGCGCCTTTCTTGATCAGTTCTTGCTAAACAAGATTCAGGAAGCAAGGATGCAGACATTCTCAAGTGCTCAGCAACATGTTGTCCCATCACTGTTGGCTCTCTAGTAGCTGTGTTGTGAGTGAGTTTTCTGATTGGCTAAAGCGGTGTTGTCCTTCGCTTTTTTGGTATTATTACACCTGAGGCTTGTCATTGGATTTATGAATAATTTAACACTTCACAGTCGAGCTGCATGGTCTCGTAGGCTGGAAAGGGCCTGGGGGCCTGAATCTAAATGCAAAACTATATATATATATATATATATATATATATATATATATTAGGGCTGCAAAAAACGATTATTTGGATAATCGATTAATCGGATGGGGTCTCGACACGATTAATCGATTAATCGGATTACATGGGGAAATTTTTAAAAACTGCTAGGGAAACGCTATTTCTCTCCTTCCTTCACTTTATTTAACACAACATTATTAGAAAACAGTTCAATAGCAGAAAAACAACATGCCATCACCTAAATTGTCTTATAAGGTGTATAGACAGAGACCCTAAGCTACATCTATCTGTGACCTAAAATGCTTGGTCCAAGTTAAACAGCTTAAGGGCAATTCTCATCTGTTTTGTTTGATCTCATCTGTTGACATTTATTTTAAATGTAATTAAAGATAGGCTGTGAATTAATCAAAATTGATCACTGTTTCCAAAAATGACTGAAAAAATACCAAATAAAACAAAAGTAAATGAATGCCATCCTCCTTGCGATGATGCCCTGGGCAACTGCCATAAAGTCACATCAAGAAATGCTGCTGATCATTCCAATGATCCCAAATAGACTCACATTAGGCCACATGAAAGCAACTGAACCCAAAAATATACTAACCAGTATATAACTGCACTCTCACACAACACGCCTGCAGCAACTGTTAGGACTCCTCCCTCCCTTTTAAAAGCGTTTTTGCTTCCGAGGACATTGTGGTTGTAAAACCACATGCTAGTAGTCTGGCCCCGGTGTGATCAACCAGTTTCTGCGGGAATGTGACGGCGGAACCAGGGCCAGATTAACACTTTGTTGTACCCTGGGCAACAATATTCAAGGGCTCCATAATCACGACCCGAGGATCACCATAATGTGGTCACATACAGAACACATACAGAATATTTTACTGTAATATGCAGTAAATATACTCAATACTTGAATGCCTGACAACATGTAACCCGCCCAGAGTAACCTTTGACCCACCTCGTGCGGACTGACCAATGAGGAGAGGGTCTTAACTTGAGGCCCTCTCTTCATTGGTCAGTCTGCATGAGACTGACTCTCAACTGACATTCAGTCGTAGGCAGCGAAGCGTCTCTGTGCAGCGCAAAAGCCCGGGTGGACAGTTTGTTTAATGTAGGGTGACCATATTTCCATTTCCAAACAAGAGGACAGGGGATCTGTGCCTATGACGTCACACTATGGCAACACCACACAAACCATGCTGGGACCCATTTTTTGTAAGAACTAAATTAATATCAGATTCTGCCAATTAAAGGGCTCTAAAACAATTCATATGTAAATATTTTGCATATTTAATGCAAAATCTAATTTTTCTGCTTTAGTGCTGCAACAAGGTTTTATTAATAATAAATTATTATACCTTTTGTTTTACTACAGCATCGGTAAGCTTCCTGTGCACAGATTATTAAGGATGCTTGTTTCAGCTGTGAGATTAGACGATAGGATCAATGAAAAAATAAGTTGTCACACACTCCATGGAAACTTTCAGAGAATCCACAAATAGTGGCTTTCAGATGGTTTTGTTACTTTTTGCAAGTTTAGAAAAGAAGCAGATGAGACAGCATGTCTGATAATTTAGTTTTTCATCTGATAATATTAGAACATGTCAGTGATGTCTGAGGGGCTTTTATAAACACCATATAACTAACACTACTGGAGAGGGCATGAATTACACAGAGGCTTCTGGGGAGCCCAGTTATGGGGGGGGGGGGGGCATTTTGCCTTGGCCCCTCAAAATGTCTTGAAACGGCCCTGGGTGTGTGACTGAGTTTTGAAGGTGATCTGAATTGTATCAGATGTATAAATATGACATGTGTATAACTTATTGTTTTATACAGGTAAAAACGTGTAGTGGAGATAAATCTACCTACATTTTACTTTTCAACACTTTGTTTTGTTTTCTTGTTTTTTATTTAACTATTTTCCTGTCCTGTCTGTCTCTCATCTTCCTGCATCTCCTCTTAATTCTCCAGAAAATCTGTTGCCTGGATTCTTACCTTTTCACCTCATCAGTTACTTTTGAGCAGACCAAAGGGATCTCCTGACCGCAAAGCGCAGAGCGCGTTTTCGATGCTGCGTGAGGGGACATCACCACAGGTGATGAGCTCCGCAGTAGCGCGCTTCAGGCACAAATACAGAAAATAGAGAACATGTGCAGACAAGAACGATCGTGTGCTAATTATAGTTTTTTGGTTGCGCCACTTTGAGAATGGACCGTGCGCTGGAAGCAGCTGCCTGGATCGCTGCGCAACAACGCGGAACCGGTTCGCAGCAGCACAAGTCTGCAGGCTCTCCCTCGCGCAGATCTGCCGGTACCGGCTCTCCCTCGCGCTGATCTGCGGCTCTCCCTCGCGCTGATCTGCCGGCTCTCCCTCGCGCTGATCTGCCGGCTCTCCCTCGCACTGATCTGCGGCTCTCCCTCGCGCTGATCTGACTTGCTCTGCGCGCAACGGCGGGCGGGAAGGGGGGGGGGGGCGCTTTTGGAAGAGTTGTGCGACACAACGAATCGATGACGCAATTCGTTGCCAACGCTTTTAGTAATCGATTTTCATCGAATTTATCGATTCGTTGTTGCAGCCCTAATATATATATATATATATATATATATATATATTAGGGCTGCTCGATTATGGCAAAAATAATAATCACGATTTTTGTGACTGAAATTGAGATCACGATTATTTAGGATGATTTTTCAATTTATGTTGATTTTATTTGTTTTTATTCTGTCATAAAACTGCTCAGGGCACAATCAGGACAAAAATAAATAACAAAGAAGATGATCACTAAAAGAACTCCTGATTCCCAGTATAAAAAGACCAATATACTTATAGCTCATAGTTTATGACCCAAGGGCTATAGACCTTGGTTTAACTCATTTAAGTCTAACCAGTACAGACCCAAATACCAATATCTTGCAAATACTGACAGCAAGAATTATACAGTGGCATTTATAACAAATAAACGCAAATAAATTGATGTTCATAAAATGTTGCATAACATTTATTTAGTCGTGTCAAGGTGCTGTAGAAGCGTGCACTAGCACCGTGTCCTCAGAGATTAGTTATTATTTATCAGCGTGAGGAACTTATTTCTACCTTATTTAT